TTGATCTAACGGTAACAAATCTCGATAAAATGATTCCGTAACTGAAGCATCTTCCCAAACTATAATTTATATTTTACAAATTCTCCCCTAGTATGTCTAAATAAATATAATATATATATATATATAAATTATTTATATCATTTTCAATTGTTACACACATAGTTATCAAAAATTGTGTTCAATGAAAATTTACTGAAATTTAATCTCAATGCCAATAACACTCAAAATTTCATCAGGTTCAAACTGGTTTAGCACACCTATAGGCTACAAACAGACTACTTATCATGAAAATTGCATAAAGAATATTTTGACATTTTGTTCAAACCTGTTTAGCATCTAAACAACATTGTCCAACAGATTCAAAATTCACCAACATTTCGTCAGCCAGGTGAATATTACTCTCAGATAACCACATTTAGTTTAATAATCAGTACTTTCGACAAAAATCGTACATTGAACTATACAAGGTAATATAACTCGAGACAAATGCAAACCAACACCTCTCTGAACTTCTATACCATTGTCTTTGATTTCAAGCATTCAACACCGTATAGTATCAACTATCAAGAAAGGTATACGAGCTCTTTACTGTGTAAGAGATTTGATGTCAAGCAAGCAAGTCGTGATCTTCGCATGTTAAATTACGTCGAGGATTTAGCCTTGTTGGCATACTTGCCATACCTTCTGGCAATCTCAGCATCAGTCAATAAATCCCACACCTGTAAAATAACATAGAACAGATTTTAAACAATTCTCGATAATTATTCCAGATAGCAGTACTTGATCCAGAAAAGAGAACAAAACCCACCTGTAATTTTCCCTTGGAGCCTCCGATAGCTAACGTTAAAGGGCAATCTTCCGAGAAAGAAACAGAAAACACAGCCCCCTAAAGGAAAAATAATTTAGAAAGTCGAAGATCTCACAAACATACAACAAAAATAAAATAAATTGCTGATAGATACAAAAGTAACGCCCTAGAGGTATCCTAAAGAAATAAATACACCTCCTTGGGATTTACGTTTGCTTAATGTTTTACTTCCAATCGAAAATGCAATTGTTTAAGAAGTAAAGAAATAAATTATGGGTGATCGAAAGCAATTCCCTAAAAGTCAATAGAAGTTACCCCACAAGAATTTTATGGACAAATGACCAAGACATGCGAACTATTCATTCCCATATATCATCAATGGAAGGTGGATGTAGAAAAAACAAAAAATAATATCAAAAGCAACATACAGCTTTAGGGTTTTTAGAAGCAATGCATGTCGGCTGGTTTGATAGATCCCATAGCTTCACCTGTAGTGGAAATAAAGGTGCCAACAATCATCATTTAAACTTGTGAAGAAAACAAAACCAGGGCGAGCATAATAAGATAAACTTAAAAGAAATCGAAGGATCCGAAAATACCATTTTATCCTCTGAACCAGTAGCAAGAAGCTGCAAATTTATAATCACAAGGTGAGCCCAGAATTATAGTGCATTAGTAAAGGGGAAAAAGAAGACTGATGATGAGATATGATAACATACATTTGGGACGGAAATATTATAGGCAATTGTGCAGACTGCTTTGTCATGTGCATGGATTGTGAAGCTCGGCTCAGGCTGAGAGGATGCATTAGAGCTAGCCTTACGGATATCAAAACCAGTAACAGTGCCATTTTCAAGACTGACCTGAAAAAACAGTTAGAAACTTTTAGTTGTTCAATAATTACACGTGATGAACATATGGAGAACTAGGGGTGTTCACGGTCCGGTTTTAACCGAAAAAAACCGTCAAACCGCGGATCGGTTAAATGGTCGGTTAGAAATGCCTTAAAAATCTGGTGGTTAATTTTTTTAAAATTCCGGAACAATCGGTCCGGTTAACGGATTACTTGCGGAAAACCGCCGGTTTAACCGGACCGGACCGGTAAATATTAAAAACTTATAACAAATATATATATACATTCAGTCATTCACTATGGCCGACAAATACAATACATTCACTTTCACTTTTTGGCCTTTTGTTGACTTAATTTTGTAAGACACTATAACTTTTCACTTTTTCCCACTTTCGTTTTTTCATTTTCAAATTTTCCCACCTCCTCTTCCTAATTTTGTGGGACGAAATGTGTATTTTTATGCTTATGGGACGAATTGTGTATTTTTTATTTCATTATTGTTGTTTTTCTTCATTTTTAGGCCCAAATAATCTCTTTTGGGCCCAAAATTGAAAAATAAAAATTAAACCCAAAATGAAAAAAATAAAAATTGAAAGCCCAAAACAAGGATTTTGGATTTAACCGGTTAACCTCCAAACTGGACCGTCCAATGCGGTCCGGATTGTGGCCGGTTAAAAAATAAAACCGGTCCGGTTATGGACAAGAAAAAAATTAACCGTTAGGTCCGGTTTGGTCATGGTTTGGGCTAAAACCGGACAAATCCGGACC